TGTGCCAGGACATGGATGCACTAACATGCATTTATTGGCGGATGGGTGGCCTACACTGTTTCCCAATCTGCTTGAACTATCAAGCACACCTGATGATGGGGATGGTATGGGTGCAGGTGCGGAACGTGTAACTGGTATTGAGAGAATTAAAGATTTGGAAAACGCAAACAGAATGAAGACAACGTGGGTGAATGAGTTAGAAGGTAGAGTGGCCACCATGGAGCGTTTGATTGGTGCTGAAGTAATAAATTTGTTTATTGGATATGAGAGAGTAATTGTGGTGAGAGACAGAGAGGTAACAAGGTTGAACGCATTGGTGGTGCAGTTAAAGGATGATCTTGCAATGTTACAAGACCAAATTGATGAGCAAGCAGCACATGCAGTGACGCAGTTAGCGACGAAAATGTCATCAAGTAAAAAGGCACCATCAGATGAACAAATGGAAAAAATGTGGAAGTTGTAGCCACACACACAATAGTGGCAGCGAGCAACGTTCTGCATTCTCCAAATACAGAACTCAACCCGCTGTTCCAGTTGGGGCAGTGTGCATCGACATTGGGGATACCGTGGAGATTGAATCACCCTCAAAGACCGGACATTTGGGGGTTCCACACCTGCATACAACGATTAGGTGTCCATCTCCAATCGTGGTACAAACTGGTGCAAAGTGTCACAGGGGTGTAGATGTTGGGAAAACAAGTTTGACAACAATTCTTGATACAAACAAGGGTGTTGGCAACATTTGCCCCCCCAAGGTGTCGTCATTGGTTTGTCGTGTTAAAGAAAAGCCGATGTGTGAATTAAGGTTGTCTGAGTATGAATATGAAGATTTTCTTGGGTGGGTCAGGCAAGCTAGGAAATTGGGGAATACCATCGCACCTAGACGAGATTACGTTGTCAATGTTAATGAGACGAACATCCAACAAAGACATGGAAAGGGTTTGGTATGAACTACAAACACACCGTGTGGATAATGCTGTCAGCAAAAGAAAAGAAGCTACTCGAAGACGTGTATAGTTTCCATGGAGACGAGTAATATACATGTTGTACTATGAATGATTGAACCTAATATTTGATTTTGAAAGCAACTATACTAACCAGATGTGTGTCGATATTTGCAGGCCTGTGATTTGGGATAGTGGGGATAACGGTGTCTGTGTCTACTTGACAGATATTCAAGCGTTGGTTAGACAGTCTTGTATCAATGGGAAGGTACGTAACATTTGAACGTTGATTGGTGGTGAGCTGGGGGGGGAGGTGGGGTGGGGTGAAGGGTTTGCATACTACCTAATATTCCTGAATTGTTAAGTTTGGTTAGTTTTGAAACGTGCCTAAGACCATGCGCTGTGTATTGCAGGTTGTTGATGCTTATGCATCCATACTCCCAGATTTACAACAAAGAGTAGTTGTAGAGGGCGAGTAAAAGGACACCAGTTACTTTTACAGTAGCATTTGTGTCACGACCCAAACCTGCCCTTATAGGTTTAGCGTCGTAATCGGCCAGTAATCTTGGGATTACCAAAGGTTTCTGAACAGAATAACAAAATATAAGGGTCCATGAGAATAATCACCCCTCCTGACCAGATATACTTGATGATGTAAGGACTAGTCCAATTAGGTCTGAACTTGCCCTTAGGGTCATGGATGGAAGCCCGGTTGTCTTTCAGTATCATGTTTCCTTCTTTGAGATTTATGGACTTAACTTTCTTGTTAAAAGATCTAGCAATTCTGCGTTGGTAGCCTTGGACATAATACAATGCCCTTAGTCTTCTCTCATTAAACAACATTAACTCCTCAAATCTACTCTATTGCCAGTTCCCCTCCGCTATCTGACACTCGGCCATAACTCGCAGCGACGACACTTCAATTTCAATTGGTGAAACAACCTCCATCCTATAGATGAGAGAATAGGGGGTTACCCCTATAGATGTTTAGATTGAGGTTCTGTAGCCCCAGAGCGCGAATGGTAGTTTATCTGGCCAGTCCCTACATGTTTCCACCATCTTCTCCAAAATGTTCTTAATATTCTTATTAGCAGCCTCAACAGCTCCATTAGTCTGCAGTCTATATGTTGATGACTTGTGAAAAGTCACATTATATTTCTCAAGCAGATCCACCACCTCTTTCTTGAAGTGTGAGCCGTTATTTGATATAATCTCGTTCGGAACTCCATACTGGCAGATGATGTTATTTATGATGAACTTGGCTATATGCGACGCTTTCAACACTGCATAGGACTGAGCTTCCACTCACTTTGTAAAATAGTCAATCACCACCAGGATGAACTCGTGTCCATTTGATCCCTTTGGCGAGACTACATTGATAACATCGACCCCCCAGACCGAGAATGGCCATGGTGAAGTCATATTGTAAAGCTTTGACAACGGTATGTTCATGCGATTGGCATGGATTTGGCATTTGTGGCATCGCCGTACAAAACTAATGTAATCTTCCTCCGTGGTTGACCAGTAATAACCTTGTCTGAGAATCTTTTGGGCTAGCATTACACCATTCATATGGGCCCCACACTCTTCTCCGTGGATGGCCGCCATGAGACGCTTCGATTCCTCTTCTTCAACACACAGTTTGTGCATTCCTAGATGGCCTCTTTTATACAGTTTGCCCCTGCAGATGATAAATTGGATGGCCAGACGCCGTATTCCCCATTTATCATTGGCATTTGCCCCTGATGGATATGTCTCTTTTTCCAGAAAGTTCCAAATATCGTAATACCAAGGGTTTTTGTCTTGAACTTCATCTATTGTGGAATGGTCTCATAGGCCAGCGTGTATTTCTATTCGATAATGATTGGATGCATTTTCACTCCCAGTAGGATGTCTACCATAGAAGATAGAGTTCTAGTGTATCAGCGAACCAGTTGTTCTTTCTCAGTAGGTGTATAAATGTTAGCTTTTCAAACCTCAGAATCAGAATATCCAGGGTTTGATGGTAAATCTTCATTTTCTCCTCTTTGACTTTCTAGTCTCCGTTCGCTTGAGAAACAACCAAATTTGAGTCTTCGATAACATCCAATCTTATTGCTCATAGTTTTAGGGCAGCTTCCAAACCAGTAATACACGCTTCATATTCTGCTTTGTTATTGGACACTTTGAACCGGAGTTTAAAGGCTAGGGGTATATGGAAATCATCGGGTGCTATCAGCAACACACCTATCCCATAATCGTATTGATTGGACGCTCCGTCAAAGTGCATCGTCCAAGTTTCCTCTTCGACTTACAGAATGTTTTCATCTAAGAACAAATATTCCATCGCCTCATCGCCCTCTACTGGGTGATCTGCCAAGAATTCTGTTATAGCTCTCCCTTTAACAGATTTGCGCGTGACATATTTGAGATCAAATTCGGAGAGAAGAAACAGCCAACGGGCTAGCCTACCTGTAAGTGTTGGTTTCTCAAAGAGATATTTGATGGGATCTAATCTCGAAACCAGGGTTACAGAGCGAGCTAACAAGTAGTGCCTCAACTTCCTGGTGGCCCATACTAAGGCTAAGCAAGCTTTCTCCAAGGGAGTGTAATGAGCCTCGTAGTCTAGCATTTTTTTGCTCAAGTAATAGATGGCTTTCTCCACCCTATCCTTAGATTCCTGAGCGAGCATGCACCCCATGGTTGAGTCCGTTACGGACAAATACAGAATCAGAGGCTTCTCCGGCTTTGGTGGCAACAACACAGGCAGATTCTGTAGGTATTGCTTGACCTGTTCAAAGACAAACTGACATCGATCGTCCCATCGAAACTTCTTTCCTTTCTTCAGGAGACCAAATAGTAGTTCACAAGTCAAGGTTAATTTGGAGATAAACCGTCTTATGAATTGCACTTTACCTAGAAAGCCGTACACCTCTTTTTCAGTCCTTGGTGGTGGCATTTCTAAGATGGCCTTGATTTTGGAAGGATCTACTTCAATTCCCCTTTGCGTGATCAGAAATCCAAGCATTTTTTTGCTGTTACGCCGAAGGTGCACTTCTGCGGGTTTAACCTCAATCTGTATTCCTTGATCCATTAAAAGAGGTTTTCCAGTGCGGTGTAGTGGCCTTCTCGCTCTTTGGATTTGACAATCATGTCATCTACATACACCTCAACCTCTCTGTGGATCATGTCATGCAAAATGGTGGTCGCAGCCCTCTAATAGGTTGCTCTAGCATTCTTCAACCCAAAAGGCATGACTCGGTAGCAATACGTACCCCATGGTGTGGTGAAAGCGGTCATTTCCCGGTTTTCCGGTGCTATTAGAATTTGATTGTACCCAAAAAACCCATCCATAAATGATAGCAAGGCATGGCCAACAGCAAAGTCCACCAACTCATCTATGTGCGGCAATGGAAAATCATCCTTCGGGCTCGCTTTGTTCAGGTCTCTGAAATCGATGCAAACCCAAATTTTGTCATCCTTCTTCAGCATTGGGACGATATTAACCAACCAGGTTGGATACTCGGATACTAACAAGAATCCTGCATCAATTTGCTTGGTGACCTCTTCCTTGATTTTTAATGCCCAATCTAGACGAATTCTGTGCAGTTTTTGTTTGACTGGTCGGGCCTCAGGGTCAAGAGGGATCTGGTGCTGTACGATCTTAGGGTCGATTCTAGGCATGTCTTTATAGGACCACGTGAAAATATCTTTGAAATCTTTTAATAAAACAATTAAATGCTCGCATTCCTCTAAAGACAACGTGGACCCAATCTGGACCAAGCGCGGATCCTTTTCAGGGCCGACCTTGAGATTTGTGAGGCCTAAGGCGAATTATGAAAATGGGGCCTCTCTAATATATGTTTTTTTTTAATAAAAAATTTATACATAAAATGATAAGTATCAACAATTTTTTTTATTTAAGTTTACTTGCACATATAATCATTAAAATTATAAATTAAAATTTATTTTCGTATATTAAGATAGGAAGAAATCAGTACAATGACTTAAAAATATAAAAAACTGGTTTTGTTAGTTTATAGTTTAGCAATATCCAGTTTACAATTGACCCAACGATCACTTAAATACTACTCTTCTTGCATTTTTAGCTGCAAAATCACTAATTAAGTTTGTATAATCTAATTTGTCTACCAAATCCTTTTCAATAGACAATATAGCTAATCCATTCAATCTTTCTTGTGACATTGTTGATCGAAGGTAGGATTTGATCAATTTTAACTTTGAAAAACTTATTTCTCCAGAAGCAACAGTAACTGGAATAGTCAAAAATATTCTATACGCAATCCAGGCATTTGGAAAACAACCATCTATCAATTTCAAATAATTCATCACCTCAATTGGCCTATTGATTTCTTTTGGCAAAACTTTTTTGAAGACTTTCAACTCAGAAAATAAATCTCTCCCATCAACATCTATAAGTCCATCATGTTTCAAAAATTCTTCAAGATTAGCACAATAAGTCTCCAAGCACTCATCATTCGTAGAATTTAACTTCTTCAAATCAAACAAAAATCCAAAAGTTTCTTCATATATTTGAAATTGTTCAAATCTACTCTTAAGTGAAGAAAGAGCTTGATCTATTATATATATGAAGTAATTAGCTCTAAAGGATTCTTCAACTGATTGTGCAACCTCTTCACTAACGTTCTCATCAAACTGTTTCTTTCCATGAATGACACGCCTTTCACGAAATATAGGTTCAATCTCCATTTTAGTTGTAACTTCTTTAGCTTCAATCATGGCCTCCAAAAATCCAGTTTCTCTATACTTTTCAAGAAATGTAATGAGTCCTTTTAATTGATGTATATCAACATCAATATGCATGTCTTTAGCTTGAAATGTCTTGCTTATAGAGTTGACAGCAAACAACAGATTGTGCCAGATAATCATGCCAAGTAAAAACTCAAAATTCTCAATTTCAGTAACTAAGGATTGAGCTTCGCACTTTGTATTGGGCTCATCAGATTCTTTTTCTAACTGAATTAAAGCATCTCTTATTTGTGGAGCTTGGTACCTGTAGACACCCCATTTTTGACCGCCCTTAAGACTTGGGTGCTACTGATGGTTTACTTGGTGGTGAAAGTTGTGCAGTGCAAAGGTTCGATTCCTTCGGTAAGAGGAGAGTCAAATCCCAACCTTACACCTCATTTTGGACCAAAGCTATTTTGAATGGTTTTTAGACCTTAAAACCCTCTCTTTCAAAATATTTTTGAAATAAAGTTCCTACGATGTTCCGATGCTCGCATTTTGTCGAATGTTGCGCTTTTCGGTAAACCGAGCCAGGACAAAGTGGAAATGAATGAAAAAGAGATGAAATCTTTGCAAAATATTTCAAAACACCTTGTTTAGGGGTTCAGAGTTGAAGAAAAGAGGAAAAGAGAGAAGAAAACTAGTTTGGGAGAAGTTCAGCATGAATCCGGGAAGGATCGAAACTGAGCGGCTTCACCAAAACAGGCATAACTTTTTTTACAGTTGGAATTTTGATGCAAGGATTCCACCATTGGAAATATTTCTTCTGGGGCTTCAATTTGGACACAAGAATGACCTGAAAAGGAGTCCAGATGAAGGAGTTATGCCCATTTGAAGTTGGACCTGGAAAGCAGAATTTTCCTGCCGACCAGAAAAATGGGTTGCCGACCAGAAAAGTATCCAGTCGACCCAAAAAGGTGGTCGGTCGACCAGAAAAGTGGTTTGTAGGTCCCAAACTCAGATTTTTTGAAGATATTTTCCCTCTAACTATCTTCCACAACCTCCAGCTGTTCCATAAAGAGATATTTCGAACCAACTCTTGCTTTTTGTTATATATGAGCCATATCTCCCATTTTGCAACAAAAGAACATTGAAGCAATTTTGGGAGCCTCTCTCTCTAAAAAGGTTCTCTCTCTCTAGAAATTTCAGAGCTAAATTTCAGCTTGTCTCTCTAGTTGGCTCTCCCTCTTGACCTTGTGTGCATGCAAGAGATCTATTTGGAGATATAACTGTCCTTGGCCTAGGCATCCTTGATCAAACTTGTTCACCATTGGGCTGAGATTCCATGGAGCCTCCTTTGAGTCCTAGAAGTTGGTTTTAGCTCAGAATTTTGGCTATTTTGCAGCTGTGCTTCAAGGGTAAGCATCTCCCTCTTTTAAGATCATTTTTGTACACTATCTTGGCCAACTTTGCATGCTTGTTTTGCCACCCTTTCAAACTATTTTTGGCTTGGTTTTGAACTGAGAAAAACTCTATTTTTCAGTCCTCAAAGTGGGGGTTTAAGCCTTGTTTGGCTAGGGAGTGTTCCCTCCCTTTTGCTCTTTGGCTTGTAAAGCCTTTTGAGCCATCTTTCACCACCTTTCAAACCATCTTTGTTTAGCCTTTTAACCACTGAAATCTAGTGGATTTTTAGTGGTAGAAATGTGGTTTTGAGGCCCCAAATGGGAGGGGGTAGTCCCCTCTCATCTTCTCTTGTTTGCATGTGTTGATGGCCAACCAAATGAGCATGTGTTTTTACTTCTTTGTGGCTTTGTTTAGGCTCGTTTTTGTGACTTTTGGGACCTACCATAACTCTGTTTTTGGTCATCTTGGTCACCTCTTGCATGCTTCTTGCACTTGTAGTGCAATCTTGCTCACTAGCGTTGTCAGCCTTACAAAGTAGCATGCTCTTGTGGTTTGAATTAGCTTAGTTCAAGCATGTTTTTGGTGTTATTTTGGAATTTTATAACTCTGATTTTGATTGGTGGACTCACCTCTTGCATGCTTTATACACTTGTGGTGTAAATCTTACTCACTAGCTTTGTATGCTTGCTATTTTAGCCTATAATTCTAGCATGTTTTGGCTCCACTCCAGCACATTTTTGGCCATTATTTAACATGCTTAAGCTCTGTTTTATGTTGTTTTGGCCATGCATGCCTTGCTTTGTATAGCCATAGTGCATTCTTGCTCACTAGCTTTGAGTTTCCAAGTCACTAGCATGCATTGCTTGGGCTATTTGCATGATTTGGCATCATTTGATATGTGATTTCAGAGCATGTTTCATTGTCATGCACTCACATCTTTCACTCTTTCAATGCTTTGGGGGGTTGGTGCTTTATGCTTTAAACATGAGCCAATATGTATGCCCTCTTGCCTAAGCTTTTGGGCTACCATTTCAGTGTGTTTTTGATGTTATTTTGCCATGATACAACTCTGTTTTTGGTTGGTTTGTCCATTGGTTTCTTGCTTCTTACACTTGTAGTGTAATCATTGCAAACTAGCCTTGTATGCTTAAGGTTTTAGCTCATCTTTCTAGCATGTGTTGGTACTGTCTCAGCATGTTTTTGGTCATTATTTAACATGCCTTAACTCTAATTTTTGTTGGTGAAGTCATCTCATCCTTGGTTTTTATACTTGTAGTGTAATCCCACTCTATGGCCTTGTATGCTCCACGCTTCATGCCTCTAATTTTAGCATGTGTTAGCTCTACTCCATACATGGCATTAATTTGACATGCTCTAGGACTGTTTTGGGTTGTCTTGGCCATGTGGCTTATGGATTGCATAGCTGTAGTGCATTTGGCCATGCTAGCCTTGAGTTTTGAGCCTCCTAGCATGCTTCATTTGTGATATGTGCATGATTTGGCATCATTTAACATGTTATTTCAGAGCATATAGCATGGCCATATTCTCACTTCTTTCATTCTTTGAATGCTTTTAAGGGTTATGCATTATTGCCTTGTTTGTGGGCTAATGTGTATGCATGCATGCCTAGACTTTTGAGCTCCCATCTTAGCATGTTTTGGTCTTTGTTTTGACCTAATTGAGTTGTGTCCATGGTTGGTTCAACCATTTGTGCCATGTATTGCATGTCTCTTGTGTAGTCCCTTTTGGTAGCCTTATGCTTTAGGCCCTCTTGCATGCTATCTTTGAGCTATTTGGATGATTTGGCATCATTTCACACATGATTTTAGTGCATATAGTGTTGTCACACTTCCATATTTGTCACTTATTAATCATGTTTGAGAGTTGTGCTCTTATGCTTAATTGATTGGCCAATGCATGAGCATGCATTATCTTGCTTTTCATTCCATCTTTTCAGCGTTTTGGCCACTGTTTTGGCATGATTTAGGTCAGTTCATATTTGGTTTAAGTCCATTGAGCATTGTTTTGCATGTCTCTTGTGAGATGCTCTTTCCTAGTTTTGATGCCGTAAGCTTCTAAACTTGCCATGCATACATTGTTTGCATGATGGAACCTCGTGCATGCCATTCTAGCATTTATAGAAGAGCATGTTGTTTGCATGTTGTTGCATCGCATTGTGTTTGCATGTTGTTGCATTGCATTGTGTTTGAATGCCATTAGCATTGATAGGTTGATCATGTTGCATTGCATTGTGTTTGGATAGGGTGTTAGTCTAAACACAAGAAATGAGGGACGTTTCATACTTGAAGTGATGAAACGCGCCTCATTTCTTGGTTGCCGACCCTCTTGATCAAGCATGATAGAGGTGGAGGCCCTTATGTGTTATTTGTGCATTCATTAACATTGAATTGTGCAATCTTGGCTTCTCGGCCATCGTGCATTGCGATGCTTGGTTGGTGGCCCGAGAGTCGAGAACCACCCCCCTTGAGCTTAAGAAATGATAGGGAGGATGGTTGTGCACACATACCTTGCAAATACGCTGTTGTGCCCCTTCTTGTTCTCTGTTGCAGCAAAATGGAGTTGTGCCGAATTTTCTGGTCGATAGACCAGTAAAAGTGGCTGGCCAACCACTTTTTTTGTTCTGCAGCAAGTTTAGGTAGTCTACAACACCATTAAGTGGTCGGCATCCCTCCTGGAGGTCTCCATGTTGGAGTAGAAGCTATTTGGAGGTCAGTGCACCTTCTAGAGATCAAATGCAAATAGGGGCAAGTTGGGGCATAGTGATGGATTTTCGAGCGAGAAACCAAGTGCATGCATTGTTCAACTTTCCAAAGCAGGGTTGAGTAGTGTAGTTTAATGCTTACTTGTTAGTTAGCATTAGTTTTGTGTACTTAATTAATTTGTTTAATTAATTAAAGTGTTGTAATTATTAGTAATTAGTTGTAACTAGTTATTCAATTTATGTTGTGTAATAATTAGTCTAATTAGCATAATTAGATTAGTTGTTAGCTTAGCTTATTATTCGGACCCTCCGTCGAGAGGGCAAATGTTGTAATAAGTGTGCGTGTGTGTGTGAATGTCTTCCAACCCCACGTCTTTCTCCCTTTTATTTATCAGCTTTTGATGGTTAGTTTTAGGGCATGTTTCAATTAGCATACTTATGCTTTGCATGCGTGCATCATTCATTCGTATTGCATGTAGCGGGCTCGGCGCGTCATTCAAACTGCATTGAATTTCAATACTTACTTGAATATGTGTTTCAAAGCATGTTATCAAGTGTTGCATTCATATGCTATCTTAGAATAGCCGAGCCTCTTTAGTTTCATTTTTGCATGCGTTGCATTAGGCATCTTAACATAGCTAGGATCATGCATTGATTTTTAACTAGCTTCTTTTTTGGCTCGGAGTACACTGGAAATTGTTCAAATCTACTCTTAAGTGAAGAAAGAGCTTGATCTATTATATATATGAAATAATTAACTCTAAAGGATTCTTCAGCTGATTGTGCAACCTCTTCACTAACATTCTCATCAAAATGTTTCTTTCTACGAATGACACGCCTTTCACGAAATGTAGGCTCAATATCCATTTCAATTGCAACTTCTTTAGCTTCAATCATGGCCTCCAAAAATCCAGTTTCTCTATACTTCTCAAGAAATGTAATGAGTCCTTTTAATTGATGTATAGCAACATCAATATGCATGTCTTCAGCTTGAAATGTCTTGCTAACAGAATTAACAGCAAACAACAGATTGTGCCAAATAATCATGCCAAGCAAAAACTCAAAGTTCTCAATTTCAGATGTAACTAAGGATTCAGCTTCACACTTTGTATTGGGATCATCAGCTTCTTTTTCCAATTGAATTAAAGCATCTCTAATTTGTGGAGCTTGGTACTGTATAGCTTTAACACTTTCAATGCGACTTTCCCAACGAGTTTGTGATAATGGCTTAAGTGTGAGGCCTTCCACATTGTCTTTGAAAATTTTCCACCTCTTTGTAGAAGATGAGAACAACACATATATGTGTTGTACCACTCTAAAGACATAGATAGTTTTGGAACAAGAGGTAGCCATATCACAAAGGGCAAGATTAAGACTATGACACCCACATGGTGTGTAGAATGCTCTTAGATTTATTTCAAGTACTCTTTTTCGTACACCTTTGTGTCTCCTTTTCATATTAGAGCCATTATCATATCCTTGCCCTCTTATATCATCAATATCAAGTTGGAGTGTGTGCAATGCCTCTTTAAGTACATTAAAAAGTCCCAACCTCGATGTATCATCTACCTTCAAAAATTCTAAAAAGAATTCTTCTACCTTTACCGGACTAGTTGAAACATCTACACATCTTATCACAAAAGACATTTGCTCTTCATGACTAACATCTGGAGTACAATCAAGAATAATTGAAAAATATTTCACTTCTTTGATTCTTGCCACAATCGTACTCTTAATCTCACTCGCTAACATCTGTATCAATTCATTTTGGATTTTGTGACCAAGATAATGGTAATGAATTTCACTTCTTTGAATACGTTGAATGTGCTCTTGCATTATTGGATCAAATTTGGCAAGCATTTCAATTAAGCTTAAAAAGATTCCATTTCTTTCTTGATAAATCTTCTCATTGTCTCCACAAAAAGCTAAATTATTTTTAGCAAGAGTGATCACAATAGCAATTATCCTTAGTAACACTTGTCTCCAGTGTTCTCTCTCTTTGTTGATTTGTTCTTGAACACTTCTATCAATTGTTTCATTCTGTTTCGATCTACTTTCCAATTCAATCCATTTGCTTATGCAAATAAAGTGTTCATTACTAGTTTCATGACTTCTAAGCCTGTTCCCCATATTCTTCCAATCTTTCAAGCCATCAGTAGCCAAATGAATATCGTTCCTATCTTGCTTAAACAACTTACAACAAAAGCAAAACACTTTGTCTGAAGCATTTGAATATACTAGCCACTCCCTATCTTGTTTCTCTCCATTTTGTAACTGTCGCATGTAAAATGTAGAAGAAAAATGCCTATCTTTGTCATCTAGGGGAAATTCACACCATTACCTCTTATAGGACCTCTTTCAACTAATAAATCTCTTAAATTTTTATCAATCTTGTCCGAATTACTAGGGTCATAAATGCTTAGAGGTCTACATTCAACATTGAAATCTTCACTTTCACTAGATTCTACATTTCCTAAATCTTCATTCTCATTTATATGTTCACTAGGTTCTTCAATCACCAAATCATCATTCTCATTATTATTCACACAATGAGTAGGTTCTTCAATTACCAAATCTTCATCATCATTGTCATTTGAACCCGAAATATCTACTTGTTTCTTGGTACCAAAATATTTATCAAGTGCTCCCTGATTGAGATTGAATTAATTGTTCTACTTTCATCTTCTTTTTTCTCTTTTCATTTCTAGAAATATACTTCCTAGGGAACATGAATATAATCACAAACACTTCAATCCACAAATCACAATCCACGAATTATCTCATATCTGATAGCAAAGAAATTATAAAAAAACAATTTAATGAAACAAAATTAGGGCAAAAAAATTAGGAAAAAATTATTCAATTAAAAATGATAAAGACCTAGGTAAAAAAATTAGGGCAACATTATTTATTTCACTAAAATCTAATAGATAAAGAAGGTAAAAAAAAAATTAGGGCAAATTTATTATTCCACTAATTGATAAAGAAAGAATGTAGAAAAAAAAATTAGGGCAACTTTATTTAATAAAATCTGATAGTGAGAGAGGACTTACTATAAGGGAGAGTGTTTGTGTGAGAGAGAGAGAGAGAGAGAGAGAGTGAGTCGCTCACTCTGCATCTCCTGCTTTATGCTTGCTTTGTTTCCTTCTTCATCACCACTTCGTGTTCGTGAGAGAGAGAGGGAGAGGGAGAGAGAGAGTTTGAAAGCATTGAGTTGAATGAAAGCACTGACTGAGCTATGTAATTTGTATGTATTGTTATGTTCTTCTTGGGTGGGGCCCAAACATTTTTTTTTATTTTTATTTTATATATGCTTTCATCTTTATAAATATGGGTCAAACCACACATATAAATAAATATGGGCTAAACCATACATGGGTCCAATAAAATATTTTGGGGCTCTTTAAATTGATCCTAAAAAAAAAAGAAAAAAAAAATTGTGCCTATAACATTTTTTTTTTAAAATTTGGGGGCCCTATTTTTGGGTCAAAATTTTGGGGCCTAAGGCACAGGTCTTACTGGCCTTAGGCCAGGGCTGGCCCTAATCCTTCTCAGTACCCACATTAATGGCAATGATTTCATCAATACATGGCTTAGCACCCCTCTCCTCCTCTCGATTAATCAAGTTTTTCAAAGTCAGAGGAATTTCTTCCTCTTCGTTTTCGTTAAAATTATGAAAATCTTGGTCAATGCAATAAACCAGCGGCACAGAAAAGTACACAGAATCTGCAGCGTTTTCATTTAAAAGGTCTAGATCTTTGATTACAGACTCAAAAGAAAAGTTGAATGAAGACCTAGATAGGACTTTGGCATCCGGGATACCATCCCCGGGAATGCCAGACCCAGACCTCTCGGACTGACTTGAATCTAATCCCGACTCCACAGACTTAGTGGAATCAGATTTTGGCTCATCACCTGATTCAGAACTGGAAAGAAAGCCCTCCTCTAGTTGCCAAGTAAGACACGATGCCTTTGATGTATCCAAAATATGACTGGTTGGGTCCACACCCGGTTCTTCCCCGATCATGGAGACAGTAAAGTTATCCCCCAAGTTCTCTAGGCCAGTCGCGGGATCTGTAAGGAGATTGGCCAGTGTTACCCCTACTTTAGCCTCGCTGCTATCTGAGTCATCTTCCGTGCTTTGGCTAACTTTGATGCTTGGTTCAACCCTTTCCTCATCACTGTCTTGCAGCTGATGGTCAAAGAAGATCTCAAACCCAAGGACACGCTCGTTCGAGGAATTTACCCAAGGCTCAGGAAAGCCGCAAAAAGGAAAATCCTCTCATTCTCGAACAAAATCGCCATTTAGCGTCCTTTGTATTGGCTTGTGGACAAGCTCATAATGCTTTCCAGCTCTCTTGGCTTTGGCTCTGCCCCTCATCTCTTCTCCTTTTCTTATCCAGTCCTCTCTGGTGGGCACATAGCCCAGTTCAAATGTATGTGGGTTGTGTGGTACCTTTGCTAATGTTGCAACACCCTTCCGCCCACTCTTTCCAAGCCCCATTCCTGGAATATGCCGCAGCTTGTTCATGATGTATATGAACTGGGTATTAACGTACATGACTTCGTCCGCGACCAGAATTGTTTGCACTACTTGGGCTTCAGCCAGAGTGAATCCTGAGAGGAACACATCTTCATCACCATGATTGATCTCTAGCAATGGCGTAGTCACCTCCGGAGGTGGATGGATGGATGAGTTCCCAAAAACGATTGTTACTCCTTCTCCATGAGGATGCTTCAACATTTGATAGAGGGTGGAGGACACAACCTTCACGTGAAGTAACTAAGGCCTCCCTAGTAGCAGGTTAAAGGTAGTCGGTACATCTAGGACGTGAAACTCGATCTCTTGCTCAGATGGACCCACTTGGACTCGTACTTTCACTGTACCCATGAATTCTCTGCTTGTATTGTCATATTCCCGTATCATTTGGGCTGTGGGGATAAAGTCTGCAGGTTTAAGGCCAATCGCATAAGTAGTATGGGACGGACATACATTAATGGCAGAACCAGTATCTACCAACACCACTGACACCCACTTCTCCTTGCATTCCACAAAAATGTATAACGGTTTGTTGTGAACCAATCCTTTCGGCGATAGCTCTTTGTCCGAGAAGTTGAGCATTGGCTTAGTGACACCTGGAAAGACCAAGCCCATAAGTTGCTCGGGTGTAGTATCAATGGGAAATTTAGCCTTGTCCATTGCCGACAATACTGTCTGCCGGTGCACCCGTGAAGCCATAAGGAGCCCGCAGATAGAGATATTAGCTTGGACTTTCTTGAGTTGCTTCAGAACTAACTCCTCTTCTAGTTGCTTCTCCTTCTATTTCTCAACCTCCTTGTCATTTCTTGACGGCTCTACTTGATCCAGGTGTGGCAGCTTAAAGTACCGTTCATTTCGGGTAAGATGACCTATCTCCTCAGCATGCCATATATTATCTGGGATGTAATGCCTCAGTCTTCGTCATTATGGGCTAGATGCAGATCTTTGTCGTCCCACCACTCGCCCTCAACGGCCGACAAACAGTTGTCCAGCTCCACCTGAATCATCTTCATAGTACAAGTGTCCCCCTTAGGGTGACATGTGGTTGTAGTTTTCTGGCTATCCTCAGCTCTTTCTCTCTCAAACTGCCTCAATGCAGCTTCCGGTTCAGTGTCTGTGGTGTTCACAACTCCCACTTCTTGACCTGGGTTTCCCACGCATGTGCTCTCCGACAGTTTTCCTTTCTCATCAACCTTTCCAGCTGTTGCGGCTATCTCTGTTTCCTTTTCCTCTGGTTTTATCCCAGTTTCTTTTTTCTTGTCTAGCTCATCACTCAGCCATCCGGTGTTATCAGTCGATCCGTTTAGGTCGAACCACCCGATCTGTACATCTTCTTGGTTACGCTCCTTAAAGAATGGCAGGTTGTCCAAATCCTCTTAGAGGTCTGCCAAATTATCCAACCCTTGGCTTGGGCCATCCTCCCTGACCACATTGATGTCTGCTGAGATTAGTAGCACCAATTCAAGCTTGGTTTGACTAGTTGGCACAATATAGCAGCTCGGGTCATACACCCTCTCAGATAAGTCCCCATGACACTCCGACAATAGACTAGTTGTAGACACCCCATTTTTGACCGTCCTCAAGACTTGGACGTCACCGCTTGAACACTCGGTGATCATCCATGTTTGTGTTCGTCTTGAGTTCCCGGAGGCCTCGGCTACGTGCCTTGCCTCAGGATCTCTCGACTCGACCGTTTTGTGTCTGGTTTTGCACCAAACACTTGTGTTTTTACCTTTAAGGGGCAGGGAATGGCTTGTTGACCATCCCCACACCTCACCGGCCAAGGCTTGAGGCCACCAACCACTGGTTTGTTGCCACCGGCCAAATGTTTGGCCGACCGGCACTCTTTGTAGTCAACCGGCCATCTATTTTGGTCAAATTGCATTTTTGGCTGGCCGACCACTGTACATCTGCTTTTGCAGATATTTTTATGCCAGCTGTGCTAACTGGCATACACTCTGCTCCCCTCCATACACGTGTATGAAGGGATTTCCCTCTTATCTAGCTTGTCTTGTAAGCTTGCAAGATTGAACCTTCTATAAGAAGAGATCTCTCCTCCCTCCTCTAGGTTAGACAAAAAATCTCCAAAGAGACCTCTGATATTAGGATTAGGTTTTGTATCCATTCTATCTCTATATCTCTCTCTTTCTTTGCCTTGTGTATGTTTTAATCTTACTATTGCACACAAACACCTAGTCTTACACTTTTTCTTGGTTGCTGAGGGGCCAAAGGTCTGTTCTTGGTGTTCTTGGACGGTTTTGAGCTCAAAGAAACAGCTGGTCCACCATTTGTGAAGAGGGTCTTCAAGGGTAACATTCTTGCCTTTTTTACCCCATTTTTGCATAGCTTTTTCGACTACCTTAAAACTATTTTTAGACTTGGTGTATAACATATAAAAGTCTTTTTTTTTGTCTACTCTAAATAGTTGGTTAAGGGTGTTTTGAGCTTTGAGGTTGTTTGACCCCTCTTAGGGCTTATTTGACACCTTTTTTGTGCCATTTTGGTGAGCTCCGGGACCATTGTGTTTGGGCCTCCTCACCACTGAAATCTTGAGGGATTTCAGTGGTGAGGATGGTGCCTTGAGGTCCCAAGAAGGAGAGGGCCACCCCCTCTCCATGTTGTCCTTGAAAAGGGCCATTTTTGCC